ATAAAAGAGAAATGATAGGCTAATAATTTTTGTTGCATATGCGTTTGTTTGCTCCAGCAAGGGGATTGGAATGGAATCACTGGATATATATGCATTTTATGATCTAAATATATTAACCTATTTGTTTTATCCAACCAAAATTTTTTGAATAAAAATTCTTTATAATTATTAATTCTTGAAAAAGAATTTTCGTATGTATTTGACTTTAATTAAAAGCGAAATTTCTCTTCTCTTTCCTTTTTTTTTTTTTTTTTTTAATAATGAATTTGACACATACATCATATTCTACGAATATATCTACAATAGCCCTACTAGGGTGGCTATGATAAGTATGCCAAATATTATGAGACTTATGATGTGCAAGAAATATTATCCAAAGACATTGGAGCATGCATGTAAAATTATTGACTTTGTTCTCTATTCATTATTTTGGGAAAAAATTTAACTAATTAAGTAAATAAAAGAGATCGAACTTAGAAGTAACAATGTTGTTACAGAATGCGCTGGTAATGGAAAATTTGATTTCATAAGTGTCTAGAATTAGGACCATAAAAAGTAACGAAGACCAAGATTTCATTTACTTCTATCATTTTCTAATTTTTCATTTCTTCTATTTTTAGCATAATTTGTGAATATAAAAATTCACCAATTTTAGAATATATAAATATTTTTTTTTGAAAACTAATAAATATTATTTAAAAAGCATATTATCAATATTAAAGTATATATATATTTACGATGAATACCTACAAGCAGTAAGTTAGAGGTAGAAATGTAAAAACTTCAATTCAGTCAAACTGTGATAGTTGATTGATGAATGTAGGGTCGTCCCTAATTTGATAACCCTATTGCCATTCTTGATTTTAAAAAATTATATGAACTACCATAAGTAAAAGTAACAAGGACTTCTGACACTAAGGAAAAAAGTTGGTGGTAAGTTGGGTTACGTTGGAAAAATGGGCACATTAAGCTAGTGGTAAAAATAATGTTCGGATCGATTATTGTCCACTTGAATTTAACATTTTTCTTACGGGTAATAATAGTGATAACATTAAACTATAAAGTACTTGGCATTGTTTTCTTTAATTTGTTAGGGATAATATAACTCATTTAAATTTCTCTCATATTTCTCTAGTCGCTAATGTTAGAGATCGATAAGGTTCGCGTGGTTGTTGCAGCTGGTGTTTATTAGTTAGAGTATATGAACATTAGTTTGAGACGCTTAGCTGATAATGACGTTTCACATTATTCCTCACTATGTGAGCAAGAAATTGATGTAATTTTTGACGACATGTATGATTATGTTAGAGAGGATGAGGTTATCTTCCCTACGTCGTTGTTATAAGTCTTCTTTTCAATTTAGTTAGGGAAAGAGGACAACAAAAAATCTTATTGTTAGTTGATTTTTATTTATTTATTTATTTATTTATTTATTTTGCAAGTTTGTAGTGTTGAGTGTCAAGTTATTGTTTTGGTCGCTATGTTTTTAATAAATTTCTTATATATATATATATATATATATATATATATATATATATTAGCATATGTACTTTTTATATATTTATAATTTGACAAATTTAATTGTTTATTGACAACACGTACTATAATAAAATAAACATATATATGGATATGTGATATATAATTCATAAAGATGTCATTATTGTTGTTCTTGTACGAGTTACTTATCTCTTTTTAAGGAGCGAATTTGTTCAATCCTCACACCATCACCTACACGAGGGGGATTGAATTAGTATCTTAATTTGACTTTTGTCCTCCATTCACTCTGTACATTAATACTTTTTCTTAATAAAACTCAATTAGATGCGAGCAGGCCACTTACTTCATTATGAGTGTTTGACCGTTTCGAGTCTTTTTAAATGAATTTTCTTTTTTTTTTTTTTTTTAAAAAAAAAACCTTAATCCATTTATCTCCAATAAAAAAGAATTGATCATGCTTGAATAAAAGAGGATGTGCTCATCCTTCAAATCAAATGGCTGGGGCCTTAAGGAAGTGATGGATTGTTGTTTTCCTTTATTTAATTTCTCCCCCTTGTACTTGGATAGGTTCACATGTCAAATTAAGAAATGAGAGGATTCTCACTTTCCACCACAAACACAACTCATAAAATATGACCCACAAAATCATGCGCCAAACAGCTTGATTAGATTTGGTGCATGGCAACTCACATTAAATTAATTATTCTAATCTATTATACATTAATTAATTTTAGCATATTTCCTTTAAATTATAACATTTTTACAAAATTTATTTTGTTAAAAATAGCACACTTTTTGTCCCTAAATCATCTCTGATCTTTCCCTTTTTACAAATCTGGTTCTTTAATTATTACACAAGTTGTAAACTTAATTCTTCGATTAACTGAGATATCAAACTCTTTTTGTATATACGGTTTTATAAGAAATTGTAAATGTGCATGCATTTATAAAAACCTGTATACAAATGGAGTTTGACATCTTACCTAGTACGTGGCCGGATGAACTGAATTTACAACTTATTTAACAGTTAAAGAACCAGAATTAAATGATGTGTTTCGTATTAACTAAATACCTAAGCTGTTAGTTAGATGCACATTAGTTACATTCAACATGCCCTTCACATATATCGACTGATTACTTTTTGACGAATCAATCAACACATGATCGAACACGTAGTCTCTTTATAAGGTAACATGGAACGAAGGTTCGGATCTATTATTTTTCACATGAGTAGTCAAACTTTGTTACCAAATAAACTGATAGTTAGATTGCAATTTATTATGCACAACAACCAGATTTGTAAAAATTTGAAAGAGAAAGACTAGGCTTTATTTGGTAACATAATTAGCTTATCAGTCAATTTTTGCTTATTTGACCACTATTAGCTGTTTGACTTGGTTAAACAATCAATATGAATGTTTGATTAATTATTTTTTTGTAACAACTTATTGCTCCAAAATGCTAAAATTCAAAAAGCTACTCAAAGTACGTAGCTTTTTAGATCAGCTTTTTTGAGAAAGTCATTTTGCTTGTAATCAGCTATAAGCTAACAGCTAATTTATCAAACACTTTTCTACAATCAACTAATGCTATCAACTAGTCAAACTCACTAACTCAATCAGCTATCAGATATTTATTATCAAACACCCATAAATTTATAATTCGGGAATAATTGAAAGAGCAAAATTAAAACTCTTTTTTTTTTTTTTTCAAAATGTAATTGCAAGAATGAGAAAATCCCTAGGAAGCAGCTAATAAGATTTCTAGGATCCATAAATAAATCTCACTCCTTGTTGGACCTTGTACGTGTTTCTGACACATTAAAATTTCTTTACCACTATACCTTTCTTTAAAAAATAATAATAATTTATTAAGAATAAAAAATATGTCACGCTCTATAAACCATATATAAAAATAATAATAAAAGGTGGAAATTAAATCCACTTAGGTGCGTGGTAGGAAATTACGTAGTGACCATACTGACGTGATCCATGAGAATATGAATTAGTTTTATGGTCCCATAAGTACATACAATACCAACCATTTATACATCAAATTCCTTGGATCTCTCCTATGTTTTGTCAAAAACATGATTGTACGAGGCAAAGTCATTTACTAGAATAGTCCTCTTATGTCCTTCCAATCGAACCAAACAGTCCTTTAATTAATTTGCCCCATGACCCATCCAACAAAGTAGCGTTACACATGAAGTGTTACGTTGATTGATTATTATATATGGCTTCGCCTTAATCCACTCTATTAGATACGAATGGACAAATGCATGTTTTAGTGTCTTATACATCTTAATTGTTTCGTGGCTTCCAATTTGAAGAAGTGAGATAAGTACTTTCGGTGTACCATACAAACATATCAAAATGTTATTAAAAAAAAAAAAGTATTAGTGTTTAAGATTTAAAAAGTGATCAGATCCAAACAGAAGTTCTGAGTGAAAATCCTCAATTTTCAACCACTTTGGGTAGTCAAAAATTCAAATAAATAAATTTGGTGACAAGGAGAACTCGTAGTTAATCACTACCCAAGGGTGCATTGGGTAAATCTAGCAGTGTGACCCTAATCAGGATCACAATACTGTAAACATGTCTAGGACTCTAGGTTGCCTATTGGTGACTAACTCGAACCATGGAGGTCAATATATCATTACGTCAGGCTTTGAATTTTGTGATTGTCAAGCCAGCACTTCAACTAACTTGGATGGAGTTGTTCCAAAATTGAAAAGTTTTCAACAACCAACATACCCAAGACATCTTTTTGACCCTTTTAATGTTAGTTTTATCTTCAACCCGTGTAGTGTAGAGACACACCCAATATCGGTTTTTGGAAACTATGAGACTAATAAATCAGTGAATATCGTCGAATATATGAACATTAGCGAATTTACTAATATTTGATCAAACTCCGATGGTGGGGCATTGACTTTTTGGGCTGCAATACTTAGACAAAGTATAGAATATATACTACCTTATAATAGAGTCAACAGTAGTTTACCCATATAGATCAGAATACCATACTAGACGTCATGGCTAGAAATTATGGATTTCCGACCACCTGAAAGTGATCTCAAATCAAGTTGAAAGTAAAAAGTGGTCGGAAATAGCAACAAAGATTTTTCCAGATACCAAAAGTGGTCGGAAATAGCAACAAAGGTTTTTCCAGATACCAAAAGTAGTCGGAACAAGACTTTCGACTTGATTTAAGATCACTTTCAGGTGGTCGGAAATTCCATAATTTCCAGTAGTGCGTATTATACAATTATACTATTGAATGAGTGTATGACTAGGGAGTAGATAGACATGAGACATATTCAAATTTGTAGTACATACTCAATTCAAAGTCCATGACAAAGACAATAAATAAATAATGCAAGAAGTTTATAGAAGTTCACAACATCAACTAACTAGCTAGCAAATATATATATATATAAAGGGGAAAATATATATAATGAATGCATACATACTATCCAAGTATTATATATATATAGATAAATACATATAGAGAGAGAGAGATGAAATGAGATACAAATGTAAATACAATCTGATCCAGCGATGCAATAATTAGTATAAAGTGTAAAACAGCTTAGCTTAAAAAGGCTGCAGCGCAGCTTATTCTTTCTTGGCGATCTCCATATAGATAGCGCTTTCGCTGTTTTTGTTTCAAGAAAAAGGTGAGCTCTGATCCGATCGATCCGACCCTGCAATCAAGAAAGCAGTGGCTAGGATTAATTTCTGCTGGGATTATTATTGGAGAACTAACGAAGAAGAATTTAAGGAAACAAGCTAGGAACAACATGAGTTACTATGGGGACTCAAACCTGGGAAACCATCATCATCATCAGGAAAGAACATCATCGTCTTCCTCGGGGTCGGGGTCGTCCAGGAAGAGCAAGAAGAGCGGTTCAGACAAACCTAAACAGCCGCAAAGAGGCCTCGGGGTTGCCCAGTTAGAGAAGATTAGATTGCACTCCCAAATGGGTTGCACTTTTCTTCCTGATTCTCTTCACCATAATCCTTTCGACACCAACCTTTCCCAGGTTTTATTCTATCTTATTATCATTTTTGCAGTTCTAACGTTAGACTTTGAAAACTTTCACTTTTAAGTTAGTTTTTAAGATGGGATTTTAGGGTCTGTCAACCAAAATGCTACTATAAAGCACTAGCAATTTGACTCACCCTCCTTAATTTTTTCGAGAATAGTGTTTTTACTACACAGGTACATTGTAGCTACCAATTAGCTAGCTTTTTTAATTTTAGTCTGTCAGTTACGAGCAATCTAGACTGATTACCTACTTATATATGGTTTTTTCTGCGAGGAGTTGCTACGAACTTTCCCATAAATCAAAAGATAGATTTTCTTGAATTTTGTTGGGTGGGGTTTATAGTTTCTTGAATTTTGTTGCGTGGAGTTTTGAGTTTCTTGCCTCATCATCCTTAATTTCTTCAAGAATAGTGTTTTTACTACATGGGTACATTGGAGTTACCTTAGCTAGCTTTCTTGATTTGAGTCTGTCAGTATACTGATTACCTACTTATGATTTTTTTACTGCGAGGAGTTGCTATCTACGAACTTTCCCATAAATCAAAAGATATATAATTTTCTTGAATTTTGTTGTGTGGGGTTTCGAGTTTCTTGCCTCATCATCCTTAATTTCTTCAAGAATAGTGTTTGTACTACACCTGTATAAAATAATTGTCAATTATATTATTCTTTTTACTACATATGTTAGTTTACTTCATTGTGGTCCGACTGAGTCACGAGGCGAGCTTCATTCAAGTCACGTTTTCCAATAACAGTTGCTAGCTTTCTAGTAAATTAAAGGGTATGTGGTTTAATTTTCATAAATTTTATTATGTGGGGTTTAGAGTTTGTTGAAAATTTATATGCAGGAGGATATGAGATTGCAGACGGGTTACTCTCCATCTCCATCATTCTCGTACTCCTCGTCGTCTTACGGTTATCCAGGCCACCAAGGCATCATGGTAATTAAGAGGATCCTATAATAATTGATCGAGTGAATTAAGGAATAATATTAGTTTAATTTGCATGAAGGAAATCTTGATTTTCTATGATATTTAATTTCCCGAATCAAAGATGTGATATTATCCTCTTTATTTAATTAAATTATTCGATGAAATAACCCATTTGGATTTGCTAGTCTGGCATATCCCATCTGGTCTTCAAAATAAACCCTAGCTAGATTTGAGCTTTCAAGGTTGCATCACATCCAACGTGACATTATTGCTTCAAGAACAACCTAGTCTTATGATTTGCCTAGGATCCATAATGTCTGGTTTAGCAAGATTTACTATAAATGTGAGATGATTGATAAGCTAAGATACCATTTCCCAGAAAATTTAAGCGAAACAAGTATTATTTTTCGCAATCAAGATATATTCTATTTTGTATCGTCCCAACATTACTGTACAAGATAAAGTTAATTTGGATGGGAAAGCTAAGGCTAAGTTGTTGGGAGGCATATATGTATTCATGTGTTGTTCATTCGGTACGTCTATAGAGAATAGGGTAGTGAGATTCATGTTATCTTGAAAAGAATATATATATTACCAATTTCATGTACTCTAAACCGGATTTCGTATTTTTCATACATATTACAGATGAATATGAGCGAGATGGAAAGAGCGAATATGAGATATGGAGATTCTCAAGCCAGCTCCAATCTAAGGTTGAGATTAAATCTTTAGTCGAGTTACTGTATATATACACATATAATGTACATATATATATATATATATATATATATATATATATATAGTTGTATTTGTCTTTGTCCTTTGCCACTCCTAATCAATTCAACCTGGACAAAATCAGTTGGCATCCTGGTACAGTCTATGAGCCCCAACAATATGCACAACCCAACATGACTAGACATTTCCTCAGCCAACAACTAGAGGTACATACATTTGCCTAACTGCACACATTCTTCCTTATAATTTCCAAATTTCTTTTTCCACCTAACGATAATATTTTAATTCTCTCGTGATCAATAAACAGGATCCAACGGACAGAAGGGGGACGAGAGACCGGAGCGGCTCGACCGGCTCGGGTGACCAGACCTCTGATTCCAAGGGCAATCAAGAACTGGATTTGGAGCTGAGACTGTCACTCTGATCTAATGATGACCACCCAATTTATTAGTATTGTTTTTCTGGTACTTTGAACGGTACGGAAATGCATATTCTCAAATAGTGACTGCAGATTTTTCGCGTCACTTAAAAAACTGTACGGGAATGCATCTGTCACCTTACATTAAAACCTATTTAAATGTAGAAAAGAACAACTTTTTAAGTTAAAGTTGCAAAAAGTATTGGCAACTTGAATTGATGGAATTCAATTTGTTAATTTCATGGAGAATACATAAGCTGTTAGGGAGTACTGTAGCAGACACCATCATATCAACAATTTGCTTTTTATTTTTCTTTCTTTCTTTCTCTTTTTGCTTCTTTCTTAAGGAATAATTACTTTCTTTTGGTTCATTAGATCCGAAAGTTCTATCCTATCAATAATATATATGTTTTTGAACGGACTATATATTAATTTTTGATAATTAAGTACAATCATGTATGGTACGGTATGTCTGATTGTACAAAGTATATTCAGAACATGTTGTTGATAATACCCAATACAATGTAACCGAAATAACATGCATGATTGAGCTGGTAGAAAAGGCAATGAACCAATTATACCAATAAGAATCAGTAAACAAATTATTATTTAAAAAAAAATATTTAAAATTAAAGTTGAAAAATTACTGCAACTCCAATTTTAGGTATTTTTATCTTTTTTTTTTTTTGAAAACTTAGGTATTTTTATCTATACTAGAAGAAACAATCTTTTGATGCCAGATATGATGTTAATAATGTATACCATTATCTTGTACGTGTTTTGTGTCTTTGATTTGCAATGTTTGTGTCGTTTTTTCTAACACAATGAATAATGTATACTATATATTATCTTGTACGTCTATCAATTAAGATCATTTAATTTAAAATCGTAATAGGAATATCATGTGAAGCGGATTCAGCTGAGAAGGTGTTAAAATCAAACTTGTGACCTTCAGGTATATATATAAAGCATGATCATTCGCTAGGCTGCCGCCCTTTCTATTGGGCGTCGGTCGGCGGGTTGATCGAGTTCAGCCCCTGCTCGATTCAAGACGTGGTGTTGTGAGTTACCATGAAAGGATGTGGTTAAATGATTAATTTCACATACTTATCCCTAATTGGTTTTAAATAGGATATGACACAGATAGTCAAAAAATTTTGTAGTTAAGTGTGTTTGATTTACAACAGTCATAGGATGGGTGACCCATTGGGAAGTAAGCATAGTCCAACGCTCTCAGAGCCAACCCGAGTTCAGCCCCTGCTCGATTCGAAACGTGGGGGGATTGTTGGGCGTCGGGCGTCATACGGGTTGGCCGAGTTCAGTCCTGCTAGATTCGAGACATGGCGCAGGGGGATTGTCAGGCGTCGGGCGTAGATGGGTTGGGTTGGCCGAGTTCAGCCCCTGCTCGATTCGAGACGTGGCGCAGTGGCTTAACATGGAGGGATGTGATTAAATAATTAATGTCCATCTACTATCACCAATTGATTTTAAGTTCACCAATTGGTTTTAAGTTAGCGCCAATGAAATTTGCTATTAAGTGTGTGGTTTTAAGAAGAATGTGCTTGACTTACGGCAAGATGTGTGACCTACTGAGAAGTAAACATAATGCAGTGCTAAGATTCATCAAGATCACTTCCGAAGCAAGAATTAAACTTATTTACCCTTAGAATTGATTGATTAGAATGATCAACAGCTCAAGTAAAATTACATCCCGGTAGGGTATCTCACTCGCTTGAGTGCAAGTAACATCGTTAAGTGAGCCGAGTAAAATGTACGTGGTAGACTTACATATATGCATGTATCAGGTTTTAACTTCTTGTTGGTGGATAGCATATTTGTCACATTTGGCAAAAAAAAAGTGAAAGAACCTTAAAACCGAGGTACATCTAATCACTACCTTACATCTGCTACCATGCATCCAACAAGATGTTCTGGATCAAATCAGATCAGATCAGATCCTAATTAGCTTTAATTAATTGGATTCTAATCAGTAATCAGAACATAATCTATCATAGCTAATCAGTTTGCAGATTTACCCAAAGGCAAAATAAAAGTGAAAAGAAAGAAACAACATGATACAACAGTGATTTTCAGAGAAAAACGTGATGAACAGGAAAACGCAGGATATCAAATGCGGGAAATGAAAGAGAAATGCCTTTATAATATTGGTCTAATTGATGAGAAGTATGGTTGAGGTTTCAATCATGTCACGAATATTGGGAATTTCTTGTCACGAATATTGGTGGTTTGAGTTTAGAATGACCCAATGAGCAGTCCTCACAGGCTTAGCTTGGTGGTTCAGCATTTGGGAGAAGAAATAATCAATATTCGAAATTCAGTAGCGGCAACGTAGGAATTATGCCCAAAATGAACATATCGCTTGTGCGCACCGGCAATTGAAAATGACCATGATTGTTGAGCCATTGAGTTACCGTGATTTATATTCTCTGTCGGGCCGGGCCTTTTGGCGGGGAAGGAGTAGAAGGATGTACAATCGTTATGCTATGGACCCGTGTCCAGCATGCATTGTGGACACGGTAACGGTGCCGTTAGTGGCACCGTTATCTTCCACCATTTTTTTTTTTAATTTTACACCGCTTTGTTATAGGAGCATATGTTCATAATTTTATTACTATATGTTCATAATTGTAAGTTCATAATGTCAGAGCTCTGTGTTCATAATTCCATAACTGTACATTCATAATTGCATAACTGTACATTCATAATTCCGTAACTGTACATTCATAATTCAATAACTGTAAACTCATAATTTTTGAAGCTCTATGTTCACAATTTTAGAGCTCTATGTTCATAATTTTATCACTATATGTTCATAATTGTAAGTTCATAATCTCAGAGCTCTGTGTTCATAATTCCATAACTGTATATTCATAATTCCATAACTGTACATTCATAATTCCAAAAACAAATAATACCGTTAACGGCGAGACGAAATCAATTTATTTTTTAAACTGAAATGCCACGTTTTCCCTGAAAACGACGTCGTTTTAGACTCGTGTCCACAATGAGTCCACAACATAATTTGCCAAGGATGTACTTGTGTGTGGTGAAAATTGTTATGGTACTTCATATGTTATATGGTCATTATCCTATATATTTTCTCCTATTTTAGTGTTATTTTATATACGGGTTATTTCTCTCTCTCTCTCTCTCTCTCTCTCTCTCTCTCTCTCTCTATATATATATATATATATATATATATATATATATATATATAACAATTGTCAATGAAAATGCTCTTTAAGCAGTTCCTGTATTTGTTAAAATCATCTTGAAATATTGAGTTAAAAAGACTAATTTACAACATGTTATCAACACGATACTCTAACCAACAATTATAATAATAATAATTATTATTTAAAATAAACTTAATTGTAAAATATATACCTAAAACTTAATTTAATTTAAAGATAATTCAATAAATAAAAAAATGTATTTATGTATTTTAAAGTCATTTTATAGGTGACTCATCCACCATAAATAGTTAATTTACTAATAAACACTTTCTTAGTTACAAACAATTGATACTATCTATAAGTTAATTGCTAGCTGATTTTTATACGCCTCCTTATCTTGGGATTCGAGTCTTGTTTGAAACGCGTAATGTAATTATTGTTACAAACAAATAAAACAACAATAATAATAACAATAACGAAAACAAGAAGAAAAAAGAAAAAGAGAGAGGGAGCATGAAACAAAGTTGTGACCTTAATTATTTAAGGTAGCAGCCATATATGCATAAAAGTATGTTATTATGATGATTTATGTAGGCGACTAAAGTAACCAAACGTGTCCAGAACGCCTGCATTTACTGCTTTGCCAAACTCATCTTTATGTAAAAATATTTTTAAAATGATTGATAAAAGCACCGCCCACTCAAAAACTGTACTTAAATCGGCCGTGCTCCTTCACCTCATTGATTGTATTAAAAAGACATTGTTTTACCTTTTAAAGTTCTCATATGATATTGTCGCAATCTCATTAAAAAAAAAAAACACTTATTTTCTTGTTAGTACGATTATTAATCTTAAAGCCAAGTACTATCCGGTGATATTTTTATTATATAATGGGTGGTCACAAAATTGAATTTTGGTGATGAAGCATTGATTCCTATGGACCCGGGGGCATTGATTGATTGATTCACCTAGAATGTTATTTTTATTTAATCCTAACGGGGAGGGTTCAGGTAAGAATAATCCCCTTTGAAAAGTGTAGATATATCTACACCCTTCATCTTGAGAAATCAACAGATAAGATAGATCTTACGGTTACTAAATTTTCAAGTTTGCAATAATTATAAAATGAACCATGCTCTTAAAAATTTTCAATAATTTTAAAATTGACCATGTTTTTTTTTATTATTATTAAAACCTTCACCATTGATGAATCCTAATAGACGGCTGAGATCAGTTATCACTTTTTACCGGAGGACCATGTTCTCATTTGATCCTGCTATATATATATATATATATATATATATATATATTATAAATTTACAATGTTATAAATTATAGTGCATGTTGTGTGATTTACAAAGTTATATTTTGTATTTTATAAGTTGGACTATCCATTTTTATATTTTTTACAAAACACATGACATTGTAAAAATTTTCACTTTAAAAAGCATACCAACATTTTAACTTACGATATTGTAAAATTTTCATTTAATAAATTAAAATAGTTCTTGAGTATATATTATATTAGGTCCATCAACACAGTGTTCAACCTATATACATTAAGGGGGCGTTTGGTTCAGGTTATATAACATAACCAAGGGAATGTGACATTCCAAAGCTCACATTCCTATGTTTGGTTAATATTATCTCAGGGAATCTAACATTCCCCAGGAATGTCACATTCCCTCCACATAGGATTTTGAAGGGAATGTGATTCCCTTCAATTTCTAAGGTTATGTAAGATAACCTTGATTATGTTAGTTTATTACACACACACACACATATATAAAATTATTTTTGTAATTATATTTTTTATTTTTATTATGTTAGGTTAGCATATAAAATAATTTTGTTTCTCAAGTTCAATATTTCAGTTAATATTTTAAAATTATGTAATTATATATGATACCGTTATCTTATTTATTTATTTTAATTTTTAAATTTATTAAAATATATGAAAATATGTTAAGGATATTATAGTATGTGAATAAAAGATAACCCTAAACCAAACATGATTATATTACATATTCCAATTTTAACCAAACACAAGAATCTAACATTCCAGTAATCTAA